CAACTAACCGGAGATGAACAACGACGAATTCGATTGTATGGACTGTTTCGACAAACCTCAAATAGGAATAAATANTTAGTTTTAGGGTTTTTGTTTTTGGGTTTCAACAAGAAAAAATCAAAAATGGGAGGGGGTTGGGCGGATGGTTTAATTATGGGGCGGATCGGGTCGACCCGGTTTGAAATGGACCGGGTCATGGGGAAGATTGGGCAATTATTTGGGCCTGAGGTTGAAATTTGAAGAAATGGCCCAATCCGATTTTTCTTTGTATTTTTGTTATTTTTTCTTCTTTTATTTTCTAAAACTAAATTATAAAAATACTTAAATTATTATTAAGCACTAAATTAAGTTATAGAAACGCAAATTAACTCCCAATAACAATTAACGCACAATTAAGTAATAATTAAGCATAAAATTGTTCATTTGGACATTAAATGCTAAAAATGCGAAAGATGCCTATTTTTGTAATTTTTAATTTTTGTAAAACAAATTTAATTACTAACAATTGTAGAATTAAATCCTACATGCAAAATGCGGCATATTTTTGTATTTTTTATTAATTTAATAAATAAACAAGCACAGACAAATACAAATAATTATCCAAAAATATCACAAAACCTCACAAAATTGCACCCCAAGGAAAATCATTTGATTTTAAATTTTTTGAAAGTAATTCTCATATAGGGCAAAAATCACGTGCTTACACTTATTGATAACATAAATCCTATAAATCGACTACATTACATTAAACTTCAAGCCAATCTTTAGCATATGTAACATATCTTGTGTCAATCTCACGTAAGATCATTGAAATTTTATTATTTTAAGAATAACATCATAATTACTTTTTTTCATACTAAATACTTGAACTATGTGTAAATTATTCAAATATGCAAATGATCACTCGAAGGTCAAATTTCTAGTGTCGAGCTTTGCCTCAAAGAATCAATTGTTCTATCTTCAACATGTGAAGCAAGAAGTCATTCCAAGAATCAATGGGACCAGGCAAACACCAATGCACACAATCATTATACAACACTACACTCTCATTTGGCCAAATGCCCATATCTACTTGGATGACCATCTGGTCTCAATAACATAGCTTGTGTTATATCCAATAATTTAAAATTCTTTCCCTTTATCTTCCCTTCCTTCTCAGCAACCCAAAACTCTTCCACTTGTGACTTATAAAACTCCAAATTTAAACCTTCCAAAACTATTTCAGTTCTTGTAAATGGACTTTTTCTCAAGCAATTCCCACCTGTATTCCATTCTCCACCTTCAAAATGAGAAGGTGCAAAAGTCCGAACAAAAATTGTACCCTTGAAATTTTCTAAGTTATTGATGGCTTTCAAAGCTGTTTTAAATACCCTTTCGTACCCATAATAATTTGGGAGTTCAGTAATATTTGGTAGTCCACAACGCCAGCAGCCAACTACTTGATTTTTCTCATAATAAACACTTAATCGACTAAACCAGTGGCCTGAGTTAAGGATGACATAGTTGAACTCCTTGATTTGACTTGTCCATTTTTTATCAGGTTCATCAAGATAAATGTTGAAAACCCCATCATGCCTAGGACCATCAGAGTCTGCTTCTTCCATTTTGACCAAGAATGGTGACCAATATGTTGCTAGGGTAAAGTTGTATGTTTTGTATTTCCACCTCTTGAAATTGAAATCTGGAGTGGAAGAGATATCAATTGGATGCTCTACCTGCATAAAGGAAAAGGATATAAGTTATATAATTAAAAAAAATTATATTATCATAGTAATTTACCAATTGTAGCAAGTCATTACTATATCTTTTAGGATATCTTGTTATTCACGCTATGTTTGGCATGAAGAGTTACCTGTTGTTGTAGGTCAACAATTTAATGTAAAAAATCTGCTTATCGTGGAAAAAACTTAAACTCAGATGAAAAAAATCAAGAAGAAAAGGAAAACAGTGAGTTAGTAATTATTTTCATTAGGGGTTGTTATAATCACTCACTATGTCCCGAAAAATGATCTAATGTGAATTTAGACATGATTTTTAACCATTATAATACATATAAACGCTTAGAGACAAAATTATAATAAAACATAGGATTGGAAAGTTGAAAAATTATCCACTTGAAACCAATATACATAATGAAAATATTTTAGAGTAAAAATAAAAAAGTGAAACTATAATATCCATGAGATAGATCCCCAGATTCCAAAGCAATTAATCCAAGATTTTACTTAAAAATAAATTACTGTAATTTGTGCAACCAAAATTTTACAGAATATTGCACCAAAAATATTTCTTAGTGTCAAATTTATTTCCTCCAAAAAAGGATTGTTTTGAAAGAAGAAGAAAAAAAAAGCCTAATCAGGAAAAAAAATGCACAAGGGGGTTTCCTTTCCCATTCAAAAGGAGATGGGTATCTTTTCCCTAACCTATAAAGGTTAAGGGATAAACTGGGTTATACTCTTAAAAGTATTTCATTTTTGGTTAGGCAAATGTAGTGTAGCACTTGTGGTGTTGTAGCCCTGCATTTAAGCTAAACTAGAAAGAAAACCACCAAACTTTACGTCACGATGTAATAACTACTTGTTTAATTATTCTCAGGATTTGCACTTTAGTACTAAGAATTATTGTAGAGGGAATAGTGATAAGGACCATGGTATTGGATTCTTGTTGTCAACGATTTAGTCAACAAATCTCTGATAAGGGACGTGATGTTCTTATTTCTTAAATATTTCTTGAATGTGAAACAGGTTAGGAACTCACGTGGTGAGGCTTGGATTCTTTTACAGAGTTTGTCATTTTTTAAGGAAATATTTTATAAGAAAGAACTTTAGATCTGAGAATGCTAAGTACCTCTGCTATACTTATGAAGCTAAAATTGCAATGCAGCAAACTATGTTGAGGGTCGTTTGCTTAGAAGGATAAAGGATAGTAATTGGCAAGGGCTTATGTAGTATTAAAGTAACAGGGATGTCAAATATAAATATATTTATAAGAATCTATTATATATGATTGCAACAAATAATAGACATGAGCCCATAACTTAGAAAATATAATGGGCTCATATTAAAAATTCTTAAAGATTGAATCCATAAAGTTTAAATTTTGAATCCGCCTCCGGTAATCGAAGATAAATGTGAGATTATTATGTTTCATGTTTGGTTTTGTTTTGTTTTTCGTACAGGTATTTCCGGAGTTGTTTATATCACAATTATAACATTATTTTTATGTAGAATAAAAATCCTGCAATTATTAATCGCGAAATAAAATAGAAGAAAAAAGGAAAGAAACACTCGTAATTTGAACTTCAATCCTAATTGGTGATTTCAATAGAATTTCACCTAAACCTTGAAATACGTCAATCTTTGGTTACACCAAACCTAACCTCTGCATTATTCTATACAAGCCCATGTGGGTTCATTAACCCAGTAAAAGATAACAGTCAATTTGATACTCCAAATTACACCAGAGTTTCATGAAACAAGATGATTTATAGTATGACAAGTAAGGTTGGTTCAGTCGGTAAAAATTTCTCTCCCAATCAGTGATATGAACGTTCGAGTCGTACTAAGGTTAGTGAAGAACCATGGTCCGTTTAATCTAGTAATGTACAAAGGTTCAAGCTGCATTTTTTCAGGCTTTGTATGAAGAGTTATCTGTTGTTATAGATAGGTTATATAGGCCAATTTAATCAAATAGTGTAAAATCTTTTTACACTATCAATACACAAGCATAATTGTAGTAGTAAAAGTTCAAGTTACATATAGTGATAGTGAAATAACTTTTTTACCCGGGATAAGAGGCATATCAAAGATTGCATTTGGTTTCTTCCCACTGAATCTCCAACAAATGCCAAGGACTTATTCCTCATCATATCCAAGAACTGATGTGGGTTGAAGATAGGCAACTCACATCCTTTTGGTTTCCATCTCCATTTTAAGAAATCTGTATCAGGCCTACCATATTTCATGCAATTTTGGTGCTCGTGAATCTCCCCACATGTCGTGTTCGTGTAATATGGACCATCTGGATTTGGAATCCACTCTCCTCGAAAGATATCACATTTTTCATGGAGCGGATGATGGTTTAATATATATGTGACAGAAGAAGGGTGGTAAAGAGAGATAATACCTAGAATGATTAATGGTAAAGCTATAAGTATGAATATTTTTGGGGTTCTTTGAGATGCATTTTGGGAGTTTTTCCCACAAGGGAACTCCATTGTTTGGAGCTTCTTCAATGGAAGATTGAAAGCGAAAGTAGATCTAATGTGGGGAGAAGTAGAGAAAAATGCCTTCAAATATATCACTTGTTACTTCTATATATGCAATACAGCGGACGTGCTAATCACCTAGTATTATAATGTTTTAATTGTACTACTATTTTAATTAATCCTACTCTTAGTAAGTAGTACCTTTTGGATCCTCACTTTACTAGATTATGTATTATTTTATGCTTCCTTTGATCGCATTTTTAGTTTCCATATAATTAATAATACTAGTATAATTTTATATTAAAATTTGGTATAGCTTATAGTTTATACCATGTGCACCTCCAATGAATGTACGATGACCACTCCTTATCCTCCTACTCCTTTCCTCATCCTTCTTTCTTCTCCTCTTACGCTTCTTTTGCTCTTCCTCCTGCTTTCTTTCGTCCTCTCACTAACCTGTGAACAATTGAACAAGATAGGTAGAATAAAGATGATATTAAGTTTTGACAGCCTCGCAAAATTCGTAAACATGTTGAACAACAACTCGAAATCTCTTCTTTTTTTCTGTTACGTTGATATAATCCGCTGAATGATTGTTAATACTTGTTTGATTCTAAACACCTGGTCTAGGAGTTTTTCTAAAAAAATTGCAAATATCCTTGCATTGCATATTTAGGCTTCAAGGAAATATTCGAATGCTAGAGGGGCTATCAAGGCTTCGCAATTACCTTCTACTACAAATCAAAATTTTCTATTATTAATGCATTGTAGAAGAGTCAAATATAAGAAATGCAGTAATTCTACCCATTGTGAGATAAATAGTTGTGGAAGGGGGCGGAAGATACTTTATTATATACGAGGAACTCACGAAAATCTCTGAGTGCTCAAGCATCCAATCAATTGAAATGAGGGTCAACAAAAAAAGAATAGGACCTATTATTCCTACATGTTCCATTAGTAACATTCCCTTGAGATGTTACTGCAGATTTTGCTTGTGTTTAATCTTTCCCGATTAGAAATCCTATAGGAATTTCTTATAAAATGAGNTGCACACAAGGTGCAGGGAGTAAAGTGAGTACTCCGACCCAGTGAGTAATAAAAGTAACTACAGTCCGAAGATAAGAAAATCCAGTAAATACACAAAGTAAGCTAAAATCCAAATATACAACAACATATGGAACTGAGCAGCTAAACAACAGTATAAATACAAATACATGAATGCAATGCAATGCATATGATGGTACATTCCAGTACCCACTGCGGCGTGCAGCCCGAGCCATCCATATTTATTTATCGTCGACGGCGCTCACTAGAGATGTGTACAGACTTCGGAGGGGCTCCTACAACCCAAGCGCAATATCTTGGTCAGTCATTGTTACCTGACCGGTTTATATCGTACAGTGCCATTGTTACCACTGTTCAAGTATATCATCTAGTGTCATTGTTACAACTATTTCAAGTATATCACACAGTGTCATTGTTACCACTGTTTCAAGTATATCACACAGTGTCATTGTTACCACTGTTTCAAGTATATCACACAGTGTCATTGTTACCACTGTTTCAAGTATATCACACAGTGTCATTGTTACCACTGTTTCAAGTATATCACACAGTGTCATTGTTACCACTGTTTCAAGTATATCACACAGTGTCATTGTTACCACTGTTTCAAGTCACTTTATAATCAGTCCAGAAAATAATATAATAAGCCCCTTGGGCATTTACAAAACAGAAGTTCCCAGCCCGGAATACATTTAAAAATATCATTTAAGTTTTCAACACTTAGAATTATGGCTGAGTTTGCAAAACAGCATTTAAAACCTTGGACTGAAATTAAATGATATGCAAATCATGCTAAGCAGTAATATCAATCCTCGAAGGATTTTACTTCAAGCCTATTAATATCAATGAAGTATGTGTATTAATCACTAGTATAGTATAAACATCACACGGGGTGGACCAAGTCACAATCCCCAATAGTATCCGACCCCGCACTCGCCATGGAATGCGTGTCACGCCTCAATATAGCGTTACGATGTGAAAGTCCGGGGTTTCAAACCCCCAGAACAGCATTTACATCTATTACTCACCTCTAACCGGCCGTAGACTAGTCCGCAATGCCCTTTCCTCTTGAATCGACCTCTTCGCGCGTCGAATCTAGTCAAAACCACAACGAATACGTTACAATAGGCTAAGGGAATATAACCCAATCGAAAAGACTCGAAAAATATCGAAAATCCCGAAATTAGCAAAACCCGAGCCCAGGGCCCACTTCTCGAAAAATTACGAAAGTCACATCACCGGATTTCTCGTCTCTCCACGAGTCCGTACATATAAATTATACCAAAATCGGAGTTCATTTGACCCCTCAAATCACCAAATCTTATTTTCAAATCCCTAGGCCTAAATCCTCGATTTTTCTACAATTTTCATGCTCAAATCCATACATAATTGATGTACTTAACTCAAAATAGGTGGGGATAACTTACATTCATATTGATGATGAAAATCCCCTCTTGAAGCTCCCCAAAAATCGTCCATACTTTTAAGATATGAAGAAAAATGAGCTAAGTCCGTGTATAAAAGAATCTGTCCGCGCTTCATCGAGTTGTACCTTGCACTTGTGCTATACAAGTTGTACATCCTATTAAAATTGTTCCTTGTCGGATACCTTCTGTTTAAACACCCATAACGTCTTGTATAAATATCCAAATTACAAACGGTTTGAAGATTTAGAAACTAGACTCAAAGATCTTTAATTTAGTAGGTTGTACACTACATAACTCTTTATATATCCCGAGATATGAGCTTCTAAATGCATCGTAAATTCTGTCAAAATTGCTCCAGCAGCCCTTTTCGATCCATCGTAACCTTCTGAGATGATATCCAAATTGCAAATAGTTTATCTTTCCGAAAACTAGAACGTATGGCCTACAACTTTCGTGTTTAGCACTTTTTCTGATTTCTTATAGATTACAAGATATGAGCTTCCAAACTGGACTACTCGCAGCAGAATTTCTGCAATTTTTCCCAAGTCCGAAATCACTCCGAGACACCTCCGAAACACTCCCGAGCACTCGGGGCTCCAAACCAAATATGAACACTGACTCTAAAACATCACACAAACTTGCTCGAGCGATCAAATCGCCAAAATAACATCAAAATCAATGATTTGAGCCTTAAATCCAAGAATTCTTTCAAATTTCATAAACTTTCAATTTTTCCAATTTAAGGCCGAAACCCGTCAAACAACGTCCGTTTGTAACCAAACTTTACAGGAAGCGCTTAACCAACATATATGACCTGTACCGGGCGTCGGAACCAAAATACGAACCTTATACCATTACTTTCTGATCAAATTTTATTTTCTTTTTCCTTAAATATTTTCAGAAAACAATTTCACGAAAAAATTCATTTCTCGGGCCTGGGACCTCGGAATTCGATTACGGAAACACGTTCAACTCCCATATTTTTCTATGAACCTTTCGAGATCGAAAAATCATGGGTCCGGGTCCGTTTACCAAAAATATTGACCAAAGTCAACTTTAACAATATTAAATATCAAA